CCCTTCTCTACCTTGTGTGGTCCCTATATTTAGAACGCTTTCGGCCGCCACGGGCAGGAAAACTAAGTCGGGAAAGAATCGGAGGAAGTGTAGTGGTCATTTAGATGAGCGGACTCACACACTGGCTGAAAACACGACGCTGCGATGCGGAGCTGAGAACACAAAGAGGACTGGGGGAGTCGGACTGAGTTACACTGGCCGCAGACACCAGCTTTTCCCTCAAGTCCAAGTGGATAGAGAAGCTGACCTGCTCATGGACTGCATTAAAAGCCGGACCTTTTCCGGGTAAATCCTGGAGAGAGAAGAGCTCAGATCGGGTAAGTTGCATCTCACCTGAACGCTCGTGTGGAAAACAAACCCCGCCGATTCCCCAAAGGGAGCAGGTCCAGGCAGGAATGTGGAGCTATGAGGAGATAACGGTGCTTTTTTTGCGTGGCCCTGGAAGTGAACTTGACAGTGTTAGTCATTAAAGTGATTTTTTGGGTAATAATTACAACAGAAAGGAAGTCAAAGTTGGTCCATCCAGCCTGGTTAAATCACACAACAGGAAAGAGATGGAGTGCGTTTAGAATGATTCAACAGGCAGGTCTGGGAATGGGGCTTAACCTCTCACACAAACTTGCTTTTTGAACTGAAATGGACATTGCATGGTGTGGTCTTTTATAATGGAGCCGTACGGTTGGGAGCAGACGAGTTTGGGTTGAGGTTTGCCATCTCGTTTCTGTTTTTCTGTTTTTCCTTCACACTCCCAGGCTAAAAAACTATCAGTCAACTTGAGTTTGACTTTAGTCAAAATGGACATGCTGAACTATGCATTAAAACATAGTTCATCACTTCCTGTTATGCAAACTTTTTGTCACCACATTTATAGATTTTTTTTTACACACACATATATATGAAATTTAAAAATACACATAAAATATATATATTTTTTAATCAAATAAAATTGAATTTTATATAATATGGAATTATAGACATGATCCATTTTATATCTATATTATATTTTATGTAAAATGGAATTCAATTATTATCATTTCTATACATATTAATAGAACTAGATAAATAAATACAGTGGGGGAAATAAGTATTTGAGCCCTTGCTGATTTTGCAGGTTTGCCCACTTACAAAGAATGCAACGATCTATAACTTTAATCATATGAACATTCTAACAGTGAAAGACAGAATCCCAAAGAAAATTCCAGAAATTCACATCATATGAATTTATAAAAATTGATAACCATCTGATG